GCTACCACTTCATCCTGAGTGTATACAAGCAGGACAGAAGGAAGAACAGGTACTTGTTCCTGTCTTCCTTCAGCTTCTATTTCTTAAAACCATTTTCTTTTCCTTTACAATCAATTTGAGAAGTTGGTGCAGGAGGGAACGGGGATGATGTGTGCCATCTGTAGAGATGGTATTCTACTTTCCATGTTGGGATATTTCTTCCAATTCAGATTCTTCCATGAGCTGTGCATAAAATGTCCCTAATTGATCTGCATTTCCTAATATTAGCAAGTCATAAATTGAAGGAATTTCCACAGGGACTGAAATCCTGTCCCTACCCTAGAACGGGTAATTCCACACTATCATGTTTTATCCACACCCCCACAAAAAAAACCTCTATAGTATTATAAAATTGAAATATAAATGGAGTAAATCATAAACTTAGTGATATAACAAGGAGTTATGCACAAAACCTTAAGAACTGAATATTACTATTTACGTGAAATTACCTACAAGATCTAGGATGGTTATGTCACAATATTCACTAACAACTTTTAAAACAACCACTCTAATGATTTTGGCTGCTCAAAAGAAATAAAACATCAGATGGGAGACCATCAGGAAACCTAAGGTTGTAAGCCACTGTAAGAAAAATAGAGGTGGTCTAATCATATTCATTGAATAAATAAATTGCATATCAAATGTATGAAAGAAAACTGAACAGCTGTAAGAAAGGGGAGAACCAAGAAAATCATGGTTGGATGAAAGACAAAACAGTGACTTTAAAGAATAAAAGGCAATATATATAATGCTAATGGACATGATGGAAGCAAGGATAGAAGTGTGGGAGAAGTAAATGATACTGAGGTAAACTAATTTTAATGATTTCCTTTTCCAAGCTTATGTCTTTAATAACATATTTCAATAGAGTTGGTATTAAGTTACATTTCATGTCTGTAGCAGTAAGGGATAAATCTAGTATTCTCCAGTACTAACATTCTCACTATAATGCATAAAATCTACAATATCAATATAAACTATCCCTGCATTAATTTTCCATTGGGGGGGTGGAATGTTTTTTTTTCTGTTTTATTTTAGTGGGAAAATTCTTTCAGCCAAAATTCAAAAATACTACATACAAAAACAAACTTTGGTTGTAGACTGAATGTGATTCGTTTTTTTTAACTCTGATGTTTCTGTAATTGAATGTACTCTGTTCTACATAGGACAGAAATAATATTTAATGCTCATGTCTCTTTAATATAAATCTTGTTGCTAATTTTTGCTAAAATAATTTATCAAAACTAAAATGGAGATAACAAATAAAAGAAACACATCAAAATAATCTGTGCAAAAGAAACACCATGAAAGTATTTTTCCTTCTTTATAAAATACATTTTACTTCATTCAAAGTAACTTTTCTTTCCAGAGAAAAGGAATAAGCAAGTACATCATCTTTGCTTCAAATCAAAATCTAGAGATCTAGTTAAGAACTATTTCTACATCTCTGATTCCATGGTATAGTTTAATTTCTGATTTATAGGTTGAAGTGGCACTTAAAGCAGAGGCAGGAAATTACATTATGATTACGGTAATCAGTTTATTCCTCCTTATAATGTTCATTCAACAGAGAATACTGTATTGACTAAGGTTTCATAAGTCATTTGGATGTTTCTTTCACTTAAGTGGCAATCTTCTGGAAATATTTTTGATGCATGCTCAGATGAACTGAGAAAACCCTGAAGAGGTCAGGACGTGAAAATATCTTAATGCTTCAAGGAAAACTGCAATAGCCAAAGCACCCTTTTGCACCACCCTAACAACTGCCACTCTTACCCTTCTTGGTAACTCTCAATCTATTTCCCTTCCTTACATAGTCAACAAAACTTGAAAGGACATGAAGCAGAGGAACCTACTGTACCTTCATCAGTACCTTGAGAGTTCTGCTGTATGAATTATGTACAATCCTGTTAGAAAAGAACACTTCATTTGCTAGCACCTATTTAGTTACTTTGCCTGTGCAATTCTGTGCAGTTATGGTTACAGTCACTTTCATATAATTACTATACATAAATGCTGGGGAGACCGTATGGAGGATGAGTAGGCAGTTGGAATAGAACTCAGATTTTTCATTCACCAGAACTCTAAAGGCCTGCTCTATGACTTACTTAGTCTCTGGCCTTCCTTTCTTCAGGCCTACGCAAAAACTGGCTTACTGCTTTTCTACCTTACCAGAGCTCTTATGCTACAAATGTGGAATGCAATTCCTATTTCTTCCATTCTCAACACTAAGATCGCCAGGCAGTCTTCGAGTTACGACTACAATTGAGCCCAAAATTTCTGTTGCTAAGTGAAACATTTGTTAAGTGAGTTTGCTCCATTTTACGACTTTTCTTGCCACAGCTGTTAAATGAACCGTTTCATTTGTTAAGTTAATAGCATGGTTGTTAAGCGAATCTGGAATGCCCATTGATTTTGTTGGGTCACATGACTCTAAGACACTGCAGCCAGCCTAAATGTGAACCAGTTCCTAAACATCTGAATTTTGATCATGTGACCATGGGGGATGTTGCAACGGTCGAACGTGTGAAAAAACGATCATAAGTCACTTTTTTCAGTGTCGTTGTAATACTTTGAATGGTCACCAAATGAACCGTTGTTAAGTTGAGGACTGCCTGTACTTTCCCTTTTTTGCTTAGCTGCCAGCCAGTCCGCATGTTAACCACACACGCAAATTTGTGGACGCAATGAACCTTTCAAAAGCTGAATAGTCCGCTGGCGTTGCTGTGTCCCCGGTTTGCATTAACAGAAAAGAGAAGGTGGATGTCTGAGGCGGTTAAGCGTGTGAGAAAGTATCAGGAATTGGCTTTATTTTCCTTCAAGTGTTTCTGCATCTCTGTAGGGTCTACAACAGTGTTTCTCAACCTTGGTAGCTTGAAGATGGGTGGACTTCAACTCCCAGAATCCCCCCAGCCCAGCGCTCCTAGCTGGGGGGATTCTGGGAGTTGAAGTCCACCCATCTTCAAGCTACCAAGGTTGAGAAACACTGGTCTACAACAATGTTTGTTTTAATAACAATATTTTTAAAATATTGTTTAACGCATTGTTAACGCATTGTCCGGAGAAGGGCGGCATATAAATCGAACCAATAAATAAATAAATAAATAAATAAATAAATAAATAAATAAATAAATAAATAAATAAGGAGTGTGTTAGTCTGAGGCGCTAAAGCGTGTGAGAAAGTGAAGGTCTACTAAGCGATGAAAGAAAAAGGCTGTGTAAAAATGGCTGGCCAGTAAGGAAAGGAAAAGGTTTAGGAATAAGAAGCAACGGTGGTAAATTCCTCTACCTTCTTATTGCTTCTTATTCCTATACCTTTTCCTTTCCTTACTGGCCAGCCATTTTTACACAGCCTTTTTCTTTCATCGCTTAGTAGACCTTCATTCACTCCCTCACACGCTTAACCGCCTCAGACTAACACACTCCTTATTAACACAAACGTTGTTGTATGTAGATCCTACAGCAGTGTTTCTCAACCTTGGTCGCTTGAAGATGGGTGGACTTCAACTCCCAGAATCCCCCCAGCCAGCAGCGCTGGCTGGGGGGATTCTGGGAGTTGAAGTCCACCCATCTTCAAGCGACCAAGGTTGAGAAACACTGCCTTACAGAGACGCAGAAACACTAGAAGGAAAATAAAGCCAATTCCTGACACTTTCTCCACACGCTTAACCGCCTCAGACTAAACACACTCCTTTATTACCACAAACATTGTTGTATGCAGACCCTACAAGAGACACAGAAGAAAGGGCGGAGGAGGGAAACCCCATTCCCGACGTCTGCAGTCCTCCAGGATTTAACTTCTGGCAGCAGCAGCCGTTTTCTCCCTCCAAAGTTGGGCATCGCCTAACTAACCCTCTCGAGACACCCACCCCTCTCAAGAAAACGCGGTCCTGGCATGGTCGCCAGGGTGACGAGGTTCAACAGAGAGAGAGGGGGTGGGGTGGGGAGGCTGCCTTTCAACCGAAGCGGGTTTCGGCTTTCCTCGCTTACAGGGCTCGACGGAGGAGCTTCTTTGGCGCAGCGGGGCGATGCGAGGAGCCCGCAGCTGGCCGTTTTTTTTTTCTCCCCCCCTCCTCCTTTTCCCGGGAAAGGGCTTCAAAAGTCACGGCTCCAAACTCGTCCCGCGCGTCCTTTCAGCCCGCGGACTCTTTTAAGGCGCCTCCCGGGACACGCCAGCCCTTTTGCCCTTGACTTGCCGTCTCCCGCCAGCCCGAAGAAGCTAGAACCTGCCGCCACCTTCTTAAATTCACCGGTGACGGAGAAAGAGGAGGGGGAAAGAAAGGAAGAAAAAGACCCCGGAGGACGACGCAGCCTTCCATCACTCACCGCCGCTGCACTTTGCAGTCACCCGGCCCCCAACTCTCGTCGCTGCCGCCTCCATGTTTGTTGTGTCTCCCGAAGCTTAAACGTAACCTATCGCTTCTCCTTAACGAAGTCCCGCGAGAGTTCAACACGGCGCGTCCCGCTCGGGCCAAGGAAAAGGGCTTTAAAGAAGGATTTTCCCAGAGAGTTCATGGCGGGTTCATGGCTTTTGTTTTTGTTTTTAAAAAAGCTTCCGGCTCTCAAACGCCAGATAGGCTCCGGAGCGTGCAGAACGGGATTAAAGCAAGTCATTTTGGTGGACAGAACGCTGTCTACCCGAGGATCGTTTTTGAAGCAAAGATTCGTCGCTTGGGCAGATGACAAGGTTTTGTCTGGAAAGGATGAAATGAGTGGCCAGCCCCGCAGATGCTGGATTCCAACGGGAACCAGAAGTGAGAAGAAGAAAAAAAAAAATAGCGCCTTCTCTTATCTCTTTGAGGTCCTCATGCAAATCTGCGCTTATCTAACCGTGCGAGGCTGAAAAGCGGGGACAGAACGTAGAAGGCGAACTGGGAGAAGCCAGGAGTGAGACTGCTTTTAGACGTCAACGATGGCACCTGCGGGAGCTTTGGCTTTGCTGAGATGTTGCAGGAAAGTAAGGGGCTGTAAAACTTGTAAGGGCGACAGGCGAAGAACTGCCGCCTGGATGGCTCCGTGGCAGAGCGCAAGTTTAACACGCCGAAGGGGTCTCGCTGGCGCTCGGTGCCTGGCACATCCAGATGTTCAAATAGCTAGGTGATTGGCGAGGGATGTTGCTGGTCCCAGGACACTAATCGAGACGAATCCCTAGCTTTTTACCGTGGGAACGAGGCCAGGAAGTTAGGAAGGCAGTTTTGCAAATCCTGAGATGTCTTCTAAGCCAGATATTTTGGCTTGGGCTGTTGTGTGAAAGCAAACATTGTGGCCTGCGACACAAAATTAATTGTGTGTTGTGGATTGGGGTTTAATATAGAATAGAAGGGAAATTGGAATTTGGTTAAAATTAGAGATGAAAATGAAGGGTAAAATTGGTAAAAAAAATAGATGAAAGTGAACACAATGGCAAAAAGGAGGTATAGAAATGGTAATCTTAGTTGTAAAAATAAGATTGTTTTAATTTATTAACCGGCCAATAATCTGATCAGCAAAAATATATTGTATGTTTTTTGTGTATGTATGTGTAAAAAATAAAAACTTTTTACAAAAAAAAAAGAATTATGTGTTGCAATGCATGAACCTTGACAAGGAATTAAAAACTGTTATTTATTGGACCGAGTAAGATAACAGATGAGGAACCAGGGGGGCCATGTTTAGGGTTGGTTCCCTTACTCTGTGTTAACTCTAAGATATGGCCACGTTTGGTGGTTGCAGTCCACAGCTTTATGTTCCCAGATTGCAGGGTTCAGGTATATACAGTGTTAAAGCATTGTCACCTTTTAAAATTAAGAATGCATTGATGTGATATGTAATAAAGGGTAACAGATAGGGTTAGGGTTGTTCAGTGGGAAACTACAAGAAGGATAACAAGGTGAAAGGAATGTCAGAGCTTCTGTATTGTTGTGTTAATTTTCATAGAGATCCAGTTGCTGACATTTTTCCTCCTGAACAACGTTAAAGATTCACAAGTACTTTTGATTTATTTATTTATTTATTTATTTATTACATGTATTTATATGCCGCCATTCTCCCGAAGGACTCAGGGCGCGAACACAGTTAAGAAACAGTACCGTATTTTCCGGTGTATAAGACGACTGGGCGTATAAGAAGACCCCCAACTTTTCCTGTTAAAATATAGGGTTTGGGCTATACTCCCCGTATAAGACTACCCTTCTTCCAATGCACACCAAATAAAAATAAAAAAAACATCAACTGGCTCACCCACAATGTAAAAGCAGCTGTGCTAGACCCAAAATGGCCCCTGCAACAAGCAGGAACCTCACACAGCCACAAAAAGCCCCCCCAAAAAACTTTCACACTTTACACACACACACAACACAACTGGTTCACCCACAATATAAAAGCAGCTGTGCTAGACCAAAATAGCCCCTGCAACAAGCAGGAACATCACACAGCCACAAAAAGTCCAAAAAACCAACTTTCACCCTTTACACACACAAAATTCCACACACAGCTTTGTGAGATTTTGTGTGTTTATGTAGTTAGAGTGAAACACTACAGAAACACACTAAATGTCAGAAAGCTGCACAAATATTATTTTATTTTATTTTTATATGAAAGCTAAATTTAAAACTTCCTAAACTTTAAATGGCTAGGTCTAAAAAAGAACAACTAAAAAAACCCCCCAATTGACTATTTTTTTTAAAGCTCCCAAAGGGGAAAAAAACTTACCCAATAGAACAGGGGTCTCCAACCTTGGCAACTTTAAGACTTGTAGACTTCAACTCCCAGAATTCCTCAGCCAGCTTTGGTTTGCTGGCTGAGGAATTCTGGGAGTTGAAGTCCACAACTCCCTGCTTGCTTGATTGCAGGCAGGGAGTTGCTTGCTGATGGAATAGATTCAGGCAAACGAAGCAAGGCAAGCATTGCGACTAGCAGCTGAGGTAAGCAAGCTGGAGGGGGAAAACTTTTTTCCTTTTACATGGCTTTGGCAATCCAAGGTGAGTTCCCTGCAACTCAGCTGGGATCGTCAGAGCTGGATCATCAGAGCCATGTGAAAGGGAAAAAACTTTTTTCCTTTTACATGGTTCTGGCCATCCCAGCTGAATTGCAGGGAACTCAGCTGGGATCGTCAGAGCTGGGATCGCCAGAGTCATTTAAGGCTCGTCAGAGCCTTTCGGGCTGGTTTGCCTGGTTATAGGAGAATGACACCCGGCATATAAAACGACCCCCGACTTATATATATATATATATATATATATATATTTGTTTTCTGAGGTTTTCGCTGGTATTTGTATGTAGGTCTTTGGTTATTCGGGTTTTCTCCCACGTAAAATTGGAAGTGTCTTGGCGACGTTTCAACAAAGTCTCATTCGTCATCTTCATGCTGGTGTTTTCGGCTTCATGCTTCTAGGAGCAATGTTGTGTGTGTGTGTGTGTGTGTGTGTGTGTGTGTGTGTGTGTGTGTGTGTGCAAGTCTTGGTGTATTCGGGTCTTCTCCCATGTAAGATTGAGAGCACTTTGGCAACGTTTCGACAGAATCTCATCTGCCATCATCAGGCTTATGCAAGGGGTCTTCTGCAGCAACTGCCATTACTATTTCAAATCTGGTGCTGGTAGTCTGCTTTGCTGGGATGGCCCCACCTCTTCGTTCTGATTGGTTGGGAGTCCCAGTCTGTGTCTATTGGCTTGGCTTCGGGTGTATGGTTGGTTTTTCTCCACCAGGTGGCAGGGCTTCATCTTTGTGGCTGGCTGGAATGTGATTTGGTTGGAGGTCTTGGGAGGGGGGGTGTCTGGCTTCTGGGGTGTAGATTTTTCTGTCTGTGGGTGCTGGGACTCGTTTGTTGACAAGGGCTAGTTTCCAGATGTCTGGTAGGCGGAGGTATCGTCACGTTTATTCATGTTATGGGGGTGTTTTTGTATTTCAATGGCTTCCATAATGATTCTCTTGTTGAGATGTTCAGTTTTGGAGATTAATTTGGTTATATATATATCTGTCTTCTCAAGTTTTCGCGGGTGTGTGTATGTAAAAAGTTAAAATCTAGGGTGTTTTCCCACATCATTAAAAGTCTGTTAATTGAAATACTTAAAACCCTGGCTAAAATCCCAACTTAAAATCCTATATATATATATTCTGTAGCACAGCCATATAGTACAAATTAGAACTGCAGATTTTATATGAAATATCATTATTTGCTGAATCTAATGTTATCTCTAAGTATTTTCTTTTTTTCTTTATATTAAAATATTTTTGCCTATAGCCAAGATGGAATATGCCTCTCTGCATAAATGATTGGATGACACATTCTTGTCTCTCTAAATCTTTCAAATCAGAAGCTTTACCACATATAATCAAAGAAGGATTAACTTGTGCTCCACTTCAGACATATACAGAAGAAGAGTTAATGATTAAACAATCAGGTAATGTGTCCGGTGTAATTAAATAGATTCAAATTCTTTCAACAAAATCTGAAATTTGCTGGATTCTCACTAGTGATTTAAACAAATTATAGAATCGTTCAACTGTGGCTGTGCTGATAATAACAGTAACAAGATCAGATTTTGCAGAACCACAGTGATGGAAGCTTGATTTTAAAAGACTTATATAAGTACCTAATAGAGAAATACCCCAAATCCAGTATTTATAGTAGTTTGGCTTCATTTGTGAAATATTTGTCCTGTCTGGGCATTGTACAAATAGTACAATTTGTACTATTTGTAAATAGTAAATTTGAAGGACATAACATTGGGTTGTTTATACTAAAGGTATGCTAATAATATGAGTGCAACTCATTCAGTTCTTCTAGCATTGTTCTTTACAAGCTAGGATCTTTAAGCTAGAGACTACCTTACAAGCCCATATATTGTTGCTTGTTATATTGTATCCCTCAACTTGGAGGTTTGTGTAGGGTATTGGCAGTCTGCTGTTTAAATATGTATATAAATATATTAAAGCTTGGTTCCTTTATATCCTTGTTTCTTTTGTCTAGTAAAAAAATTTGCTCAAGAACAAGTTGTTCCATTAGTACAAAAAATGGATGCTGATGCAAAATTTGATGATTCTTTACTCCGAGGACTATTTGAACAAGGGGTTTGTACATGATTGTTTATGCTTAAAAATGACTTAAGCTTCTTTTTCAGCTTTAACTAGGTTTTATACAGTATAAGCTCCATGTTTGGTTGTTAGCTACAATACTATAGTCTGTTATAGAATAGTATAATCTAAAAATGAATTATGATCATTGCCGAGTGAACGTTGGGACAGAATGCTGGTTTCCATTCATTTTTTCCTGTAGATTTTACTCTTTATCTTCTACTTTAAAGGAGAGACAATTTAGCAAATTGCTTCAGTGGAAATAGATTGGGAAAGATACATGTGTAGTATTATGCAACAAGCATTTTGATTATTCTTCAGTAAAAATAAAGATCTCACAATGTGGTTTATATATCACTGATTTTAAGGTCTGCTGCCTAATATTCCATTGACTTTCTAGATTTAAACCCAAATAGTTACCCCTAACTTGGAATTACTTGGAAATTCAATTGGATGTCAGTAGCTCTTGCTTTGACTTGAATTTTTATATTGGGATATAAATCACAACTTGTATACTTTTCTTCTCCGTAACAAAAACTTATTCTTTTTTTTTCTTAGTTAATGGGTATTGAGCTTGAAGCAGAATATGGAGGAACTGGATCTTCTTTCTTTTCTACCATTCTGGTAGTTGAGGAGTTAGCCAAAGTTGACCCATCTGTATCACTTGCGTGCGAACTCCAAAATACTTTCACTAATAAAATGTTTACAACGTATGGCACAGAAGAACAAAAGAGGACCTATTTGCCCAGGCTGGCAAAAGACATGGTATGTAAAGCACGATGACTAAATTAAAACAGATTTACAAAGTTTGCAATAGTGTCATTTACTATCACTACTAAGTGAGTAATATTACTATGAAATTAAGATCCCAATCCCCATTAAGGTTACATTGAAACACTGTGATGTTCAAGTTAACATTAACATATTCCCAATTGGCATTGTACAGGTAGTCCTTGACTGAGGACCACAATTAAAACCAGAATTTCTGTTGCTAAGCAAAGCAGGTGTTAAGAAAGTCACACCCATGCCATGGTCATTAAGCGAATCATTGCAGTTTAAGCGAATCTAGCTTTTTCTCCATTCACTCTGCTTGTTGGAGGCCAGCTGGAAAGGTTGCAAATGTTGACCACATGACCCTGGTACATTGCAACCGTCATACTTGCAGATTGCCAATTGTCTGAATTTTAATCATGTGATAGTGAGGAATGCTGTGATGTTCCTAAGTGTGAGGATCTTTTCCTAAGTGTAAGTCACTTTTTTTCAGTGTTATTTTAACTTCAAATTGTCACTACATGAATGGTTGTAAGTCGAGGACTACCTACTGTATGTAGAGTTGCTAATGATTTATTAAATCTCTGTGTTTTATAACATAATCTCTTACTTGGAGCTTTTGCTGTTTTAGATACCTGTAAATTTTGCAATTCAAAATTATAGTGTATTTTACTGACTAGAAAACCAAGGTCATTCTAGTGGTTTAAGATAAAAGCTATAAAGTCTGAAATGTTACTTTTAAAGTTTCAATTTTATTAAATTATTAAATATTTCATTTTCTTTTATTTATCACATTTATGTAGCCATCCACCCTATGAATATGACTCTGAATGGCATACAATAAAAAATAGACCATAAAAAACCCTATCATTAATACATTTTTAAAAATAATATTTAAAAATATAATGATGGAGCATCTTTACACACATTTAAATTAATATCTTTGAAGTGATCAAATATGCAGTAAATATACATGTGAAATAGAAAAGGCAGCATGGCTAATTACATTTGAATAGCATATCCTTCAAAACTATTGTAAAGAGAAAACTCTTCAAATGTCTCTTGATTGACTACCTGCCTTTATTGTTATATCAATGGCTAATTGTGCCAATAAATTAGAAACCAAGCTCTTGCCTCCGGATTTTTTAAAATCGTCTTGACTTCTTTCAAGGCCAATACCATAAAAGGGAAGTTTTCTCTGATTACTTTGCCAAACCTATATTTTCAGTGTCCAGTGGAATTAGCTGACCTCTGAATTCTATGTTAAATGGTAGATGGGCGCCATCTGCATTTCTGAACCAGGAGCTGGCAGTGATGCCTTCTCCATGAAGACTCGTGCTGAAAAGCAAGGGGATTATTACATCATCAATGGATCAAAGATGTGGATTAGTTTTGCAGAACAAGCAGGGGTGTTTTTGGTGATGGCAAATGCAAACCCTTCAGCAGTAAGTAGTTAAAATCATTGCAATGTGATTGTGCATGTATTGTTATACTAAGGTTAAAAATATAGGATAATGTCAAGTTTTCACCTCGCTTTTTCTAATTGCCATTTTCACATAAATCTTCAGCTTATAGACTATTTTCCTCTGCTTGGAAACTTCAGCAGACAAATAGGGGCAGAAATTGTTATCTGCTCCAGGGAATTTTTTTTTCTTCATTTGAGGAAGCCTGTTTATTCAGACCAGCAAAGCCTACTGTGCTTGGAAATAAGGTGACCACACTTTGTGACCACACTGAAGACTGAAGTTTTGACCACTTTCAGGTGGCCTAAAAGATTATTCAAGAAGGGACTTTCTTTGGAAGCAGAGGTGATCCAATTGCAGTGCAAACAAAACCCTGCTTTTCTTTGCTTTGCGTCAATGTTTTGAAGGTATCTTGCTCTCAAAACATTTGCTTCAAATCAGAGGCTAGTAATCTCTTCATCTATCAAGGAGTATGTTGCAGAATCTTATGCTGTAAAGTAACACACATTTTTAATTCAGCTGAAGTTTCATACAAGTGCCAAAGCTCACTTGCAATAGCACTTAGACTTATATACTGCTTCACAGTGCTTTACAGCCCTCTCTAAGTGGTTTACAGAGTCAGCATATTGCCCCAACAGTTTGAGTCCTAATTCTACCCACCTCAGAGGGATGGAAGGCTGAGTCAACCTTAAGCCTGGTGAGATTTGAACTGCCAAATTCAAAGGCAGCCGGCAGTCAGCAGAAGTTGCCAGCAGTACTGCACTCTAACCACTGCACCACCGAGGCTCATAACTCGTTGAATCTCATTTAATAAAACAAAATCTTACGTAATTTCAAATTCCTTGCCTGAAATCACCCATGAGCAATTTACATTGAAGTCACTCAAAATTTTGGAAGCTTTTTATTTCATTTCAGGTGTGTATGTGTGTCTACATAGATGATCCAGAAGTGGTGTTAGAATAGTATAGACATTGTGTTGCCAAACCAGACACTATTAACTACTGTATTTTTCGGAGTATAAGACTCACCTTTCCCCTCCCCCCAAAAAAGAAGATGAAAATCTGGATGCGTCTTATACACCGGATATTGCATCAGCCATATCTGGTGGGACGGGGGAGGGAGTTGGTGTGGTGGTGGCAATGGCAACAATGGGTGGCAACAGGCAGCTAACCTGACCTGCTGCCCCATCGCCGCCACCCCTTCGCTGCCTGGAGAAGCCTGCCGGGCCGCCTGAGCCGCCACACCATCCCCGCTGCCCAGAGAAGCCTGTCTCGCCTGCTGCCAAACCGCTGCTACCTGAGCTGCCGCTGCATTGCCACCGCCTGCCCTCCTGCCACCTGCCTGCCTGAGCCGCCACCCCGCTGCTGCCCGCTGCCAGCCCATCGCTGCCTGACAGGTTAGCACCTGTTTGTAAATGGTTAGGGGTGCAAGGGTCTTCAAACCTGACAGCTTTAAGACTTGTGGACTTTATAAGTCCCAGAATTCCTGAGCTAACATGACTGGAGGAGGAATTCTGGGAGTTTGAAGTCCACAAGTCTTAAAGCTGTCAAATTTGAAGACCCCTGGGTTAGGGGTTAGGGTTAAGGTTAGCACCTGTTTGTAAAGGGTTAGGCTTAGGGTTAAGGTTAGCACCTGTAAAAATTATTCTGCTATACTGGTATTTTATTAAATAATATATTATTACACCATTTGGTTCAAAATATTTTTTTCCTTGTTTTCCTCCTCTAAAATCTAGGTGCGTCTTATAGTCTGGAGAGTCTTATACTCCAAAAAATACGGTATATTAACCTGGGTGCTCTGGCATAGAGAATCTATGCAAGTCTTGATACAAAATGCAACACTATGGCAGGAACTGCAGTTGGATCACCTGTGTAGGAAAAAAGTTATGGATGCCTAAAGAAGGACCCACTTATTTGAGTGGAACTTTGAGTATGAATTATTTTGCAAGGGTTGGAATATATTTATGTGGTATATACTCACCAACATGGTTAATGTATTACTGTATTTGCCTTTTCCCCCCCTTAGGGCTATAAAGGAATTACATGTTTCATAGTAGACCGTAATTCAGATGGCCTACATGTAGGAAAGAAAGAAGATAAACTGGGAATCAGAGCAGCATCTACATGTCCTGTAACATTTGAAAATGTGAAGGTAGAATAAAACTTTTAAAGCAGTGTTGCATTTGGTTCTGAGTTTGAAATTCTACGAGGTAAGCCAGCAGGCTAAAGTTATAGAACCCTATGAATTTGGAAAGAGAATGATGTATCTCAGGTTTGCATTTTGTATAGATGGGTGATAGCCTAATGGGATAAATATCTTATCAATCCATATTATCAATTGAAAGGCACATGGCCATAATTTATAAGTGACCCAAATTTAAAAGACAATTTCTGAATATCAAAAGCTGCAGCATTTTTGTTTTCTGCTCTGCTTTAAATTTCTTCATTTTTAAAACATGTATTAAAAAAATTAAAACTAGATTTTCCCAGATTTTCCCTAGATGTTTTTGAATGCAGTGTCATAAATAATGGCCTTTTGACTTTTGGAAAGGACAACAACAAAAAAAGGAGTTGATACTGATTATGCTTTTGTTTCTTTTGTTTCTTTTTCTTTTCTTTTCTTTTTTTTATAGGTTCCTGAATGCAACATAATGGGACAAGTTGGTGAGGGCTATAAGTATGCTATTGGAATGCTGAATAAAGGAAGAATTGGCATAGCTGCACAGGTGAATATACTTGAAAATAACTGGCCTTGATAGGCAAATCACAATAAAAGAGGAACTTTAACTCTTGAGTTCCACTTTGATTTTGAGAACAATTGCCCCTGCAATATTAAGCTGAAACAGAAGCTCAATAACAACATGCAGAGAGAGTTTAGATGCATGAGAAAGTCAGTTAAGCAGGAATGAGAACAGTAACAGAATGAAAACAGTTCTGACAGTTAATTCCAAAGAAATGCATACTTAGGGATAAAATTGTTGACCATACCAAATAGTACAAAGAATAATTTTAGGCATGCTCAAAAACATGAGCTTGGATTTTTTGCCTTTTTTTTTCTCCTTTGAACTACAGGCAACTGTCACATACTGCACTCTACCTTTGAACATGCCATCTGTTTCAAAAAAAAATGGCACATTATGGAAAAAGGAACTATTTTTATTTTTAATATAATTTTATTGAAAGTTTTAGAAACAGGAAAAATTAGTGCAAACTAAAATAAAAGAAAAATAGAACTAAAATAGAAGAAGGGGAAATGAGAAAAAAAGAGAAAGCCAAGGTGCAAAAAGAAAAGAAAAAGTAGAAAAGAAAAAATTGATATACAGATGTGACTTTTGATTTTTACAGCTGTCATAAGTACAACTGTAGATTTCTCTAAAGTTATAGCATGACTCTCTTCTTTGCATATAGTATATAATCATCAAAAAAGAACTATTTTTCAATCAACAGAAGTCATGGTTTCTTTGGAGGCATGTCATTTGTTGAATCACACAGCTAATGTTAATATTAAATATTATAGTTACTTTCTGCATGGAGGATAAATGATTAGATGTGACAGGTCCCTCAAAAATTACATTGAAAAGAACAGTTTCTCTGCTAAGACAATCCTAGAAATTCCTATATGTATCTATATGCAGTTCTGAAAAATCCTTTTGAAGGCTTGTAACTTTTTCCTAAAGAAAGACAGCTAATCATTCTTAGACCACATTTGTGTCTCTGTGAAATCCCATATTTGGCAGATAGATTTCGTTCGTTTTGCAGAAGGACCTCCCTTCAAAAATACTGATCCAAGTCTTTGGAGTAAAGCAAATAACTCTGTAATCTATTCTTTGCTGCAGTATTTTCCTAGTGAGAATAAGACAATGATAATATGGATTTCTTCACCTCAGTAACTTCTTTTTTTAACGGGAGGCATTTTATGGCTTCCAGATGTTTCTGGATGTTTCATATAATTCATATAGGATCATATTAGCTGACTATGTTAGGACAGCATGCCAGCCCTATTTTAGAATGAACAAATCTAGGATTAAATTACCAGTCCTTTAGGAACTGCTATTTAGTGATAAACCTATTGCAATAGTTGTTATGAAATTAAGGTGCTATGTGAATTAAGGTGCTTTGCAATAATTTTAATGCTTGTTTATCTGCACACAGATGCTGGGATTAGCACAGGGGTGTTTTGATCATACTATCCCATACACAAAGGAAAGAACCCAATTTGGAAAAAGCATTTTTGATTTTCAGGTATTGATTGATGTGTTCTGTGAAATAGGTGATAAAATATAAATAATTATGGCTGGTAGAGGTAAACATTATGAGCCATGAGCTATACCGTACTGTTTCTATTCTACTGCAGCAAATACTGAGTAATTACCACAAAGCAATATATTGATAGTCCATGTATAAATAACCACAACATATTCAATTGAACAACATATCTAAAATGTCACTTCTGTTCCAGATAAAAATAGTTTGCTTTTATTATTTTATACGTCATGACAAAATTGTTACAGAATCCATATGCATTGTCAAGTAGCAGTTGTAATATATATATATAACATTGTATGTAACCAATTTTGATGAACGACCAGGACAACAATGGTTTCCCTTCTTTGTCTAGTTTTAATTCAATTTTGGCCATTCTGGTCACTGATCTTTACACACTCACTCATGATTAAGCACTTTCAAGCCCAATTAGATTTATAACTGAGTAAAGGATTACTTAAGAATTGCAAGGATGCTACTATAAGATTGAGAACTCCCATGTATTGTTGATGGCCGTGAAAGGAGAGTTATTTTTTTCCTGAGGGCAATGTTTCAATATAAGTTTTATTTCTAAGGGACTGCAACATCAGATTGCTCAAGTGGCCATTCAGATTGAAGCTGCAAGGTTGCTGACCTACAATGCAGCCCGATTTGCAGAAACTGGGAAGCCATTTATAAAACAAGCAAGCATGGCCAAATATTACACAGCAGAGGTAAGGTCTCTATTTTTTTCTGTTTAAATTTTAAGCAGAACTGAAGGGAATTTATTGTTTCTTTCAGGTCTCAAATCTCTGTTTCAGCCAGCTATGCAGAGGGGAGGGCAGAAGAAATGAAAAATGAAACCTTAAATATATTTTAGAGGATTATTTAAAAAAAGAAAGAATAAATTATTTCCTACTTTAAAAGAGAGAAATTATATTATACATTTTGATTATGTGTATGCTTATTTGCTAACTAGGGTTTACAGTATATGCTGCTCCAGTCCCAAAGGACTTGTGAGTGGAGTTTTGGTTTTTTGCAGATATTTTTGGTGCCTTGGACCACTCCCTGCAGTTTTTCTGGCAAGTTTTTTGTGTGGAAGTAGTTTGTATTACTTCCTTCTTAGGGCTGAAAAAAAGTGACTAGCTCACTGGCTTTGTGCGAAAAGCAAAATTAGAACTCACAATTTTTAGCTTCATGCCTTAACTACTACACCAAACTGGCTTTCAGTGGCTAATAGACCCTCTTAAAGTAAGAAATTAAATACGAACAAATTAGAGTGTGTTATCACCGCAAATTTTATCTTATTAAAGACTGTAAATCCAATCCTGGACGGATTCGATATCTCTGAAATAAAATTCAAATACAGGCTGCCATGAGCTCAAAGGTTTGGTTTGGTGTGGTTTGGTTTGGTTTGGTTTGGTTTGGTTTGGTTTGGTTTGGTTTGGTTTGGTTTGGTTTAAGCATCCCCATTTAATTTTTTTGTCATATAACTATCAAAGTTCTTTGTCAGATTGTGGCAAATTATATTTCAAAATAAACTGCTATGGTCAAAAGAATTATAGTTTTCCACTTGAGATCCATAAGCTTTAGAACTCTTTAATTATGCATCATTAGTTTAACATGGCTTTATTTGATTAATATTTTGTATCTTTTGTAGTATATTTATTAGAAGGGTGGTTAATAGTAGAAACCAAACAGTTCATAAACCCTCATAACAGGCTTATTGTATATCTTAAAGGTTGCAACTCTAACAACAAGTAAATGTATTGAATGGATGGGTGGAGTTGGCTTCACAAAAGATTATCCAGTTGAAAAATATTACAGGGACTGCAAGATTGGTAAGTTATATATGATGCATTTCTATATGTTGCATTGCATTGAATTCAGAATTTAATTATTGCAAAGCTGTTAAAAAGCATCAATTTTAAGAGTTTTCTGATAGATATTCAGGGACAAATTCTTCATTTATCTGACAAGGAGTTTTTCTTGTCTTTTTCCTTAATAATTTTCCTTTAAAATGGGATGGTTGGCTTAGATGAGTTGAAAATATGGTAATGAAAGCTGATACATTTCTTCTGCCTAATTTTCTTAGAGGAAGAGCAGTTAAAATAACTTTCCTTTGTATTCTTGTGTATGTGTATATATTTTATTATTCATTAGGTTATTCATTAGATTTTTATCCTGCCTTTATTACTTTATAAGTAACTCAAGGTAGTGAACATATCAAATACTCTTATTACATCCATTTTAGCCTTTTCATTTATTTATCCTCTCACTTCCCTGAATATTCTCATCAATTCTGTGTATACTACTTTCCTTCAGTTCAATTATATCCTCTCTTTTCCTAATTTCACACACAACGTATCTATATTTCTTCCTTTCATTTAATTAATTAATTCATATCCTTGTTAAATAAGCCATGATGGCTTTGTTCACACATAATGCTATAAAACATGGCTTATGGCTTTGCTGATACACAGTTAATCAAAATCAAATAAATCATGTTATGTTTTAGAACACTATATAAATGCAATCATTTTTTCATCAGTAAACAATTTACTGATTAATACATCCCTGACTCCACTGAACTGTCATTTATACAGGTTGTCATTGCAATAAATATAGCAATTTTATCTATATCGATGTAATAGCCTGTGGGCATAACAATGAGAGATAGGAGGAGGAGCTGACTAGATTCTCAGAACCATGAGGGAACATGGGAAGTCAGAAGGCACCCTCCCTAGTTTTCCAGGAAGTAAAAGGAACATAGAGGAGAAATATTTTCAGTCTTGCAAAATTATGTTAATGTAAGCTTATATTGAAGTAAAGTTTGTATTCATGGTTGTGCTTCATGTCTGGACTATACAAAGGATGAACAACAGTTGATTGCCTCCCTTACATTTACGTTGTGGCATAGTAAACTAAAGCTGAAAGTGCTGTAATAAGTTTTTGTATGCCTCCTTTGATTCATTTTTCCCCCTGATGGTTTGTTTCAGGTACCATATATGAAGGAACTTCAAATATCCAGTTAAACACTATTGCAAAGTGCATTGCCCAAGAGTATTGAAATTCCAGGAATTGAGTGACTGTTGCCAACCTGATTTCTTCTCAGAAAGCTAAATATGGTTTCACTTCTTTGTGGGTTGCAGATTATCCGTTCATTGCAAGTTTAAAAACAAGGCACCAAATTACAGTAATTTTTAATTATTGTGCAACTTTCTGTACAAGAGTGTAGTATAAATGGCTGAACTATTAGGAATCAGTAATATATCATAAGAACGCTTACTTGTTTTCCCAATCACTGAAATAAGAGTTTATGCACTTCCACACTCTCTTTTAAACAAAGAAACAAACTTTTGCCTGCTTTTGTATTAGCCCAGTGGTTCTCAACCTTTTCTTCACCACGGACCTCCCCTTTAAATACTTTTTGTGGCCACATACCCCCAAGACTTAACTTAAGATTTAAATCATCACATTTATTTAAGCCTTCTGGACCCCCTGTGATGACATTGTGGCCCCCCCTGGGGTTTGCGGACCACAGGTTGAGATCCACTATATTAACCTATCAAATATCTAGGAGGGCTTTATAATTCTGTTTATTAAAGTGATAAGCCTGAGCATATTCAATAATGTTCAAATACTCTGCAGCTCTTGCAGAGTAGTAGAATAGTAACAATCAGTTCTTAAAAAGATTATCTTATTATTTAGACAAATACTCAGTAATTGGGTAACTGGGGAGATAAAGCAGATTTTTATCCCTTGCTGTTCAAATGAGATACTGTATGTATGCATGCATGCATACAAACACACTTATTTGTTAGTAGTGTGGTAGATTTCCTAACAGGGTAATCCTATTACCATTGTTTGAGATCCCCAATATTGAACAACAAGATAAATGTTATTCAGAAGCACCAGTTTTATTGCATTGTTCCAGGTTTCTTTATCCTGCCCATTAGAATTAATATTGTAGGATTTGGGTGGGGTTTTTTTAGGAGCTTCCGAATTCTAAATTTTCTCCATCAGGGATTTAGTTGAGGACAGTGAAAGTTTTGGCTCTTATATATACGGAGCCTGCCAAATTCCCAATTTTATCCTTTTTCTCCTTTCTCAATGCCACAGATATTTCTAAGACAGCAGGGAGTGGAGATCCAACAAAAGATCTACTCAAAATTCAGAGCTTTCTCTTAAATTCCAAAGAGGGATTCCCAGTCTTTATTACAGTCCTGCAACTGCAGCCCTTTTATCCTTATACAACAGTCTTATGTTCGAGCCTCAGCATTCTGTATAAATTAAATGTAATTACCAGTATTCTTAATTAACAGAACATTCATTTCGGCAACGTTCTATTACATTTGACATATGAAATATTGCAATGGGTTCTGGAATGATGTGTTAGAAGGCATAAATGATATGTAAGGACAAGAGACCTGTGTTTTACATGAACAATGTGTGGAAATGTTGGCTTCTTGAAGGTGTAGATAAGAAAAAATACAAGTTCCATTTAAATCAGTGGTCTTGTTTTAGCTATTGTCACAATCTTTGCCTTTATTGGATTATAGAATGTATTCTACCTCATTGGGAGGAATTATGACAACAAATGAAAGTGCCTACTTTATTTAGTGCCACATTTGAAATATAGCTGTGTCTTACATATGTAAATCATCTGGGTATGATATGTGCCCTTACTAGTAAGGAAGACGGATCACTTGAAACGGGGATTATTCATCGCATTTGCACAGAGGAGTAAAGAAGACAAAAAGAACACAAGAAAACTAGCAACAGTAGAACATTGGGGAATATGCTGACATTGTAAACTGCCCAATTTAAAGCTGTAAAACACTATGGGGCAGTATATAAGTCTAAGTGCTATTGCTACATTCGTACATACTTATTGGCCTAAGCCTCTTAGAGAAGGGCATGAAAATGAGATATGATTTGCACAGGGAGTGTAACATAATCTCTTGTAAATGACACTTGTGAAAGTTGCTTAGCTTCTGCTGACATTTTATATGGCTAGCTACTAAGAAGAAGTGGCGTGCTATGATCAGACAGCATAATAATCATGTATTTTGAGATGGTAGGGGAGAGAGAGTGCTGAGGATAAGAATGCAAAAGCGCCAGAATATAAGGCCATTGGTTTTATCTTTTAAATGTCAATAACCAGCTGAAGCACTTCGTCTCATTTTTAAACTGTCTTTGGGGATGAGTAATATCCTACTCTTGACTGGGAAAGGTACATGTATACATGCACCCATAGTGTATTCTACTTTTTCTCTAAATCTTTAATGCTGCATGAAAAGGCTTTGCTTGTCTCCCCTTTTCTTCTCGAGTAGCTCTGAGCCTAACAATAACAGAAATATAAATGCAAATTAAACTGGTATGCCAGATAGACAATTTGGGGAGAATTACATCTTTTTAAGAAGTTTATCTCTTTTTAAGAAGTTTATCTCTGTTGTAAAAGGCAAATAATATTTTCCAAATGGAAAGCAATTTTTTCTTTTCTGTTGTAGGTATCAGTGTCCTCCCACTCAATATTTTGGAAGTTTTAACAACTCTAAACTATGTGGGGAAGTAGCTGAAGGTGGTTGGCAATTGAGAGAAAATTAGCAGAATATCTTGCTGTACCCATTTGTATTGCTGACAGCAATCTCTTCTAGACCTAGACAGCTAACTCTAAATTCAGCGTACTAACTTTTTATTTGAAATGGGTTTGTATCAAGCATTCCTTGCTTGGATGAATGTTATCCTGTTTAGTTTGGGCTGCATGCAATGAACTGTATTCGTTAAAATAAAGATGCTGATTTTTTTCCCAACTTAAAAATAACATTTTGTAAACAGAACATCTAATACAGGCATATGTTTGTATTCCTTGTATGTTTGTATTGGTGATGGAAACTTGATTCTTGGAAATGTATTTTGTAATTTTCGTACAATGATTATAAGCTTCATCTGCAAAATGATTCTGTGAATCTGAAAAGCTAATTAAATGCAAAGATTAAGCAAAAGAGTAATGAAGTCATATAGGGTATGTGGTCTCTCTCACCCACACAAAGAGCACAATGTGTTTTGAATTCCATGCTTCTTTATCTTCCTCCCATAGCATAATCCTCATTTGCCTCTTGCATTTTTCTTGCCAGTTATAGATTAAAAAAATCAAATACATGTCAGATGTCAGATGTAGCTTACTGTATCCTGAAATAGCAGACACACAACTAGCCATAGAGAAGGTGACATTGGACAGAACATCCTAGTGCTGTATGGAAAACTTGCTTATTTTAAGACCACCATATGGTACTTACCAATAGAGCCGTGGTAGCACAGTGGTTAGAATGCATTACTGCAAGCTCCAGGAGTTCAATTCTGAATGGCTCAAGGTTGACTCAACCTTCCATCCTTCCGAGGTCGGTAAAATGAGGACCCAGATTGTTGGGGACAATATGCTGACTCTGTAAACCGTTTAGAGAGGGCTGTAAAGCACTATGAAGTGGTATGCTATTGCTATTATGATAGGACAGAGGTTGTATTCATTCCTAAGCATAAGCATGGCCATACATATGCACACACAGAATGAAGCGGTTTGCAGGCTAGCTATTTTTGCACATGTCTGTTCAAGGTACAGTCCCATTCCCAAATCTATGCTGGCAGCCTATCGGGCGTCCATATATTCAGTCCACACAGTTGCAATGAGGAAGGTAGAAAGACAGCTTTTTTCTTTTCAAGTTCTGTTGGTTTATGTATGTATTTTAACGGGATACTAAAAAAAAGAACCCACCAAAATGTATTGTAAACAAATACATAGTAAATATTTTAGAACTATTATGAACTTTTCCAAAGAGCAGTTGATAGTAGTATCCTGGACAAAAGACTATTGATTCCAGCTGAGTGCGTATCTGAGTTGGTTATTGTGTGTCTTTCTAATATGGTTTATTGAGTGAGGGTCACAGAAAAACAAAAATGCCATATTAAGGTTTTTAATGTTTGTATACTTGAAGTTATTGGAAGCCTGTCCTCTTTTGATCCCAATATAGTTTAGATTGCTAGGGGGGAAATTTAAAGATTTCCTGTTCCTTTCTGCTTCTGTGTCAGCTTCTGATTTAGCAGTGCTGCAGCCATTGCGATGATGCCAATTTTCCTTAACAAGACATGCTGACCATTGGACATTCTTATTACAGAAGTAAAGCATTGTTTGTATCAGTGTGGATAGGACTCTGCGGAAACTGAATCTTGCAAAAACAGCTTTCCAGAAAATCAGTTGCAGTATCAGTAAGTCAGGAAGGGGCTGGTAAGTGACGGAGAGCAAAGGCGACATCAGAGGCCCTTGAGGCCTGCTGGTTGCCCACCTCTGACCTTGTATAAGATGGGAATGTTGTTGAATCAATTGGAAAGAATGAGCCTAACCTCATCAAACTTAATGTATATTTATGTGGAAAATTGCCAAAGTAAATCCAAAATAGTTCCTTTTGACTTCAGAAAAGGAAACTTCTCAAAAATGAGATTAAAGCCAAAAAGGTCAAATGTCTCCACTGCATCTGGGGTTACTCAAAACTGCACGAATAGAAACTCAGCTAGGATGAATATTGCAGGTCAGGAAAGGTCTCAACAAGTCCACCAGCTCATCAACGCAGTTAATAAGCAGTAGCAATAGTGCCAAGGAAGCCATTAAGGAAGGAAAATTTTCCTTCACAAAATAAAAACAACACATCCACCAAAGAGATGCAAGTGGAAAAGAGATGCCAAAAAGAGGTTTTTTTGAAGAGTACATAACAAAACACAACTGAGAAAGCTTCAAATGCATCACAACTAGGAAACCATCAGGGAGATGGTTGAACTACAAATCTTACTTCCATAGGTTTGTATAGTGCCCAGTTTAAAAACCTCCAAGATGTTTTTACAATAAAGTTGAGAAAACAACACACCAAGAGCCTTGGTGGTGCAGCAGACTAAAGTGCTGTTAAGTAGTTCCAGCTGCCTGCAATTACTGCAAGTTCAAATCTCACCAGGCTCAATGTTGACTCAGCCTTCCATCTTTTCGAGGTAGGTAAAATGAGGACCCGGATTGTGGGGGCAATAAGCTGACTTTGTATAAAAATGAACATTGCTTGGGTGGTGGTGGTGAAAGCCCTACTAAGCAGGTATATACAAAAGTATGAAGGCTATTGCTTAACATATTGTAAGCCGCCCTGAGTCTCCGGAGAAGCGTGGCATATAAATCGAACCAAATAAATAAATAAATAATTAAATAAATTTAATAAATAAATAAATAAATAAATAAATAATATAACAGAACATTAACCAAATAAAATTTAATATCAAAGCTTTACATTTATATTTTATTTTATTTTATTTTATTTATAATAATAATATATTAATATTACTGGAAAATAACAATTTTATCATGAAAGTTGCAAACTAGATATTTGAACTGAATTTTTTCCAGGAATGGAATTGAATTGAATATTTTGTTTGACCAAGTGTGATTAGACATACTAGTTTGTCTTCCGTGCAGAAGCTCTCAATGTGTATTCAAAGCAACAGAATAATGATAACTATAATAATAATACCAATAAGAGGGAGCATTATGTTTTGAATTATTTTGACCGGTTAAATCCATCCAGTTGCTATGGTTTTTTTAACTAGTCATATTAATGTATTTTCTTTTTCTTTTTTTTCTTGTTTATTTTCTTGTGCTATTTATTGTTCTATTACTTTTGCTTTATTTAAACTTCCCTTTTTAATTCTACACTTTTTATAGTTGTGAGCTGCCTAGAGTAGTAAGATAGGTGACAAATAGATTTAATAATAATAATCTAGCCAAAATATTGAGATCAAATATAAAATGATTGGGTTTCTAATGCCAGGGTATTCTTAAGGTTGATCTTTGTACCAAAAAACTATAATGTAGTTATAATAATATTATTTTTTTAATACAGTATAAAGAACCGGGGTGATGCATAAAATTGCTGATCCTTTTACTGAAATTTACTGTAAAAGCAGTGGTCGGTTGCTACCTGTTTGCCCGGATCGGGCAAACCGGTAGCGGCAGCTGCAGGAGGCTCTCCCCACCCACTCAGACGCTTCTGCGCATGCACAGAAGCTTCTGCACATGCGCAGAAGCATTGCGAGCGAGCACATGCGCTCACGAGTGAATTGGTAGCGACGGGTTTTGAAACCTGCCCCTGTATAAAAGATACAGCACATTTCTGTATTACAGAAGAAGAAAGTTTGCTGAAGAAAAATTACTTCTTAAAAAAAATAAATGTATAAAAATAAATAAATCTTGCATTACCAATCTTTTAAATTTGACCACATTGACATGTATGTGAATTGGTGTGATTTCATTGACATTTCATTTACTTGGACTCCTAAAAAGGTTCCTATATTATCTTCCTGACCCTAGGATAAGAATATCTTTCCCAACCTATTGGTCTCAATCAGTGGTGGGTTGCTCCTGGTTCGCACTGGTTCTATAGAACCGGTAGTAAATCCAGCGGGAGGCTCCGCCCACCGACCCCAACATCACCAAAGCGCTTCTGCGTATGCGCAGAAGAGTGCGTGCGGTCCTGCTGCAAACCGGTAGTAAAGGTAAGTAGAACCCACCCCTAGTCTCAATAGATGTTGGGCCTCTTTCACTTGATATAAAATATTTGGATATCACATGATCAGGGCAGAGAGGGAAAGGTCCTATTAAGCTAGATAACTAAAACAGCACAAGGTTGGAAAAGCTGAGACAGTTCTTAGAGGAATTCAGAGAGTGAAATATAGTATTGAACAAACTGTCTATCGGGATCAGGATGTTTGGAGACCAAAGACCAAGTTAGCAGTTATTGTAGGATAATATATCCTACTTTCTGTAGGGAAGTTTGGCTAGGAAACTGAAAGAAACAGAACTCTTTTGTGCCTTTCTTTGTGCTCACCAACATCCCAGCTGTTATTCCCAAAATGTTATTTCTAGTCTGTGAGCCTTGTTCGAAAGAAATTTATAGGGCGAACTATTTCTAAGATATATTTTTTTAAAAAAACTTCTATTATATTGTGTTTTCAATGACCTTGTAGCCTGCATTGTAAATTGATTGGAAAGAGACCCAAGCCTAATAAATAGTAATCAGCAGCCTTAATATCCAATATCCTAGCTGGTCCAATTAGGCAAGAATACATAACTCATCACTATGTTTCTTTTGCTGGAGTTATTTACTCACAATCCCAAAGGATCAAATCTATTTTGAATTGTTTAGGTCCTTCGATGAATCCAGTTTCTTCCCAACTGCTTGGGGTTCTACCTAATGCCATCTTTTTCCAGGATGACCTATAAAACTGGTTAGAAGTGGGGTTGTTAGGACTGTTCTTGCTGTAATTTATCATTGCTAAGGTTTCTGTTGTTGTCAGAGTGATTTAAGTTGCCTTAAGCTTTTCAAGAGATGGGAAAAATATATTTTAAACAAAGGCTTTCCCAGTCCTGAAGTCCATTTCAGGGAGAGAAAGAAAAAAAAATGAATTGATAAGTTATTCGAGTTTAACATGGCCATGTTCTTCCTCATGGGACAATTTCTGAAACTTATTACATAAGCATGAAATGTTGCACAGAAAACAACCAGCTATGTGGTTTAGCATTTTCCTCCACTTAAGGCGGCCACTAGAGGGCTGTGCATTTCTCAGTATTGTAAATAAAGTGAACATATTGGAATCTATACAGCAGAGGGCACAGGAGTGCTTCCATTCAATCCCAAAATTATTAAATCTGTGTTGCATGGAGGCTACTGAAGGGGAGAAAAGCATGGGGGAAAAGTGCCAAGAAAGCTTGCCATTCTGGGAATAATTAAGTGTATTTGTTTCCCGAGTTAACATTTTTTGAAGGTTGATAATAAGTTCTCTTTGGCACTGAAGTGAGATGGCTTTTCAAAGAGTGCAGTGTTCATTCATTATGGGTTTTTTTTCCTTTCTTCTTCTTACTGTTTGGTGCCAGTTTTTCATTAATTCTAAAAATGCAGCTGCTTTTTCTCCCCATGAATA